CTCTTGCGCCGCTCCTCCCCCCGCCTCCCATTAACATGCACCAAAAAAATAAATAAAAAACTAGCCGCAGTACTTATTGAATACAGTCGTTCCCTCCCTATTGATTGGTTGGTTGATTGATTGATTGATTGATTGATTAATTGATGGATTGATTGATTGATTAATTGATTGATTGATTGATTGATTGATTGATTGATTGATTGATTGATTGATTGATTGATCGATTGATTGATTGATTGATTGATCGATCCTCTCATCCCCTCGGCCCCTCGTCCCCTCACATACCTAGACGCCCGTTTGAAGCGATTCCAAAACGGAATCGATTACCTAATCGATTCCGTTTTGGAATGGCCTCAAATATGCACCTGGGCGCGGCGAACTGGCCCGTGCAGATGCATATTTGAGCTGATTCCAAAACGAAATCGATTACGTAATTGATTTTGTTTTGGAATCACCTCAAATAGGCATCTGCACGGGCCAGTTCGTCGCGCCCAGGTGCATATTTGAGGCGATTCCAAAACGGAATCAATTACGTAATCGATTCCATGGTGAAATCCGCTTAAATATACATCTCGGCGCAACGAACTGGCCCGTGCAGGTGCCTATTTGAGGTGATTCCAAAACGGAATCGATTACGTAATCGATTCCATTCCGGAATCGCTTCAAACGGACTTCTTCCCTCTGGTGCACCTCGGCTACGACGCGCAACTCCCCCTACGGCCGACGGCGATGGCGAGTGGAATAGCGGGTACCTGCTCCCCCACCAATCAATTAATCAATCAGTCAATCAATCAATCAATCAATCAATCAATCAATCAATCAACCAATCAATCAATCAATCAACAAATCAATCCATCAATCAATCAATCGATCAATCAATCAATCAATCAATCAATCAATCAATCAATCAATCAATCAATCGATCGATCAATCAATCAATCAATCAATCAATCAATCAATCAATCAATCAATCAATCAATCAATCAATCAATCAATCAATCAATCAAAATCAATCAATCAACCATCCAACCAATCAATCAATCAATCAATCAATCAATCAATCAATCAATCAATCAATCAATCAATCAATCAATCAACCAACCAACCAAGTAATCAATCAATCAACCAACAAAGCAATCAATCAATCAACCAACCAATCAATCAATCAATCAATCAGTCAATCAATCAATCAATCAATCAATCAATCAATCAATCGATCAATCAATCAATCAATCAATCAATCAATCAATCAATCAATCAATCAATCAATCACTTCATCAATCAATCAATCAATCAATCAATCAATCAACGAATCAACCAATCATTAAATCAATCAATCAATGGGGGGGGAGGAGCGGCGGAGGAGCGGATTCGAGGGAAGGAGCGAAGGCTCGAGGAGCGGAGGCGGGGGGAGGAGCC